CCAAAAAAAAAAAAGATTAGGAGTTAGAATTATATTGTGGCCCTACTTAGATAACAGATGACTTGTGCAGCAAGAGAATGTGTGTACAATAACATCATGAAATAATACAGCAGATACAATGCGAAATTGATTGATGTTTTTTACAATAATGCACTGCAAGCACGTAGGTAGCCTAAACTACCCAAATACATTGAATTGAAATAATGTCCTCCAAAATAAACAATTAAAAAAAAAAACAGTAAGATTATGATCACTTTCAAGTTATTTTAATCAACTATTTACAGCATGCTGTCTGTATGATAGGTGTGTGAATACACACAATGGAGAAGTATGCATTGAGTTTGCTGTCAAGTGTACCATAAAAAAAGGGACTACACTCTTTGATCACCAAAACTGACAGGCTGGTATAACAAATAAATAAATAGATGATCTCCTTTTCTCTCTTTTAGTACTTTGTTGAGTACTAATATGACTGAAATGATTGAAACTTTTCATGCAAACTTAAGATTATTGTCAAATAAGTGTTACATTTTGATAGAAACATTTATGTAAATCTGGACACAATCAAAAGTTTATTTCTTGGTTAATATGAAATTTATCAGTGACATGGCGGATATGGCTGGCATACAGTTTAAATCCATAACGAGACAGAAGTTTAAGGCAAGTATTATAAACTTCCTCCCTAAAATTCGCTAAGGAAGACTTGGTGACAGGACACCTCGCAATGAAAATATCCTGGATTATAAATTAGAGTTACAGTAGTGTGGCTGGTATGGTTTCATCTCAACTTTGATCTTAATGAAAAGACAGCAAAAACAGTTGAAAATAAAAATACAAAATTCACAGCCTGTAAAACTTAAAAGGACGAATAGAAAATTGTCAAATTCAAAGTTTAGCAATCAAAATAGCTAATGTTTAGATCAAGCCAAAATCTTGGGTATAAAGATGAACTGTTAACTGTAGGCAAGCCAATGTAAAATACCCATTATGAGAATGGATTACAAACTCCTAAGAAATAACTGACTGACTGACATAAATGTGAGTAAAAAGGAGCCATATGAAACAACACACTTTTAGTGTTGAGTATAGAAAAGCCCTCTACTGCCACAATGGGTATGGACTAGAGGTGCCCCACCTAGAGGCAACCAGAAATATCCAGAAATATTATAAATGATTAAGCATCACAATGATATACCAATGAAATTTTCAGAAAAAACTTTTCTAACTTTTGTTTATGTGTGAGCCACAAGAGCCTGTTTGATCACAGATGCTGCCATGCTCTTCAGTAGTACCCAACAAAGAACATCAATGGTTGGTGCATTGTCGCCAGAAGCGCCAATGCATAAAATGCGCACAGAAACGCAGGTATAAAGTCACACATTGGTGACACTGGGCATTAAATGTTTTGCATTATACGCATCAGTTTTAGTTTGCATTTCTGCACCCATCGAAGCATATTCAATGTTTTGGTGCTTTTGGGGATACAGAGAGCCTGGTGCCTTGACCAACACATAACTGCTATTTGAAAACCAGGCTTACTTTTATATGCTGCCCCTTACAGTGGATACTCTAGACATGAGGAGGAGGTAAGGAAGTTAGATCAAAAAACGAATTGATCGAAATGTGATGCATATTGCTTGCATCAGTTACAGCAGTTATGTGTAGATCATCAAGGAACTATAGTCTCTCAGTATAATGCACTCACCTTTGCTGATCATTAGGGGTACAAACTACATGAGATCAAATAGGCACTTCTGGCTTACACATGAGCGGAAGTTACAAAAATTTCTTAAATTTCATCTGAATACATAGTATAATATCGCTCAACAGCACTTATAATCTGTTGAAATTTAGCTGAGTATTTTTTAATAAAAATTAAATAAGTATTAAAGTGATAAAGGGGGTACCTCTAGAACTTCCCTGCCACAATTGTCATCACAAAATGTTTTTTATAGGATTCTATGAAATGTTTGCAGATAAGGGCAAATACAGAAACTATTTGAAGATTTGGTATATTTTCCTCACCTTTCAATAACAGAATTACTTCACTGTCTTAAATTGATAAAGTAATAATACATAACTAGTAACAACAGCTGAGTAGGTCAATAAAATATAACCAAATAGATCTGTTCTCCAATTCAATGCATCAAATAAATGTTTATCACAAAACAAGATACAAATGGATTGCACTGTAAAACAGCATACATTTTGTCATATGTAGCTTACATGTTAATACAGGTCACACAAATCCACTCATACTTTCTCTCTCCCTTTCTCTCTCTTGATTCCTTAAAAAAGAAACATAAGATTGGAACACTTGAAAACTTTGTGGTCTTAGCTAAGGCCAATTTGATTAAACCACCTGTGCAAGCACAGGAATTTTCATTGAATCAAAAGGAAAAATAGAATATGAATCATTTAAGAGTAGTCTAATAACAATATCCTTTCTTGAATATTGTTTTGTAAAAGAATATTGTGGACACAGAAAAACAGAAAGGTGAGAAAAAAATTTATAATAAATAAGGTAAAACTATTAGTCAGATATTTTCCCCCATTATAAAAAGATAGATGAAATGTCTCGTGCGGTTCAGATTTTCATCAGAGATAGAGAAAGAGAGCAGGTTTAGACATATTCACTAAGGAGTGTTAAAGCTACAAATCTTTGATTTTGTAATATTCACCCACATATTGGAATAACAACCACAACAGAAAAAAAATTGGGTTACAATATGCTAAAAATCATGATTGTTTTTGACAAAGAAGAAAACCTAAGCTCTCACATGGAAGGATATATGATCTGTATCTTTCACAATTAGTTTTACATTTTTGTCTTTTTTTCCTTTCTTTTTTAAAAATAATGTTTTTGGAGTAGCACATTTTTGTTGGAGCCATGAGGACCTTACATTGAAGTCTTTCCTTTCTAAGAAAAACCTTAAGTAGCTCTACTTTTACCACAAGCAGACAGAATAAGAATGACTTACTCCTTATTTCACCTAATTCCATTTGGAAGAATCACCCTAACTATATTTATACAACAAGGGGGTCAACACAACTAAGTAAAAGTATATTTGTACAGTTTTATGATTTTACTTAGTTTATAACAGTATGAAGGACAACACATGTTGACAACATGCAATAAGGTCAAAGATTTAGACCCAAAACATGAGAAGCTTAATGACACAATACACATCCCCTCCTACCATGTGATCATCCTTCATAATCTATTTGCTACTTTCTACACACCCAAATCCCCTGAGGGCACTGCACTCTGTCTTGGAGGAGGACAACTTGTCAATAGACTATAATTACTTTGCAATTGGTTTGACAGAACACATCTAAGAAAAAGATGAATATTGAGAGGAAACTACTTAAATAATGTTAAGATAGATACAGATTTTATGTAGTTTAAATTTTGAAGTGTAATACAAATTGATTTAAATTAAAAATAAACTATGAGTTAAGCTTCTGACAAGCCAACACAGTGCACTGCCACAGGGAATCAGAGACTTATCTTTGAAGATCAATGCCAACTCCTGTGTGAGTGGCCTGCTGACTTCTGAAGACCTGTGGTTGATTAGGCTGAGCCTGCATCTGAGGGGGCTGTTGCTTGGGGGATGTTGAGAAATTCACACCTAGAAGAAATAAAAGAATACAAAGGTAGGATACCAAAAGACTATTCACAGTAATGTTGCCTCTCTATGTAGCTTTTATACCTGAGGGTGAGGAGCCAAGCTTTTCCCCAGCATTCATTCTAGAAAATGCTAAGAGTGTATCTGGAAAGTTTGGTGGGGTAGCAGGAGTATTGCAGGGTGTACATATCTGAAATTGATCAGAAAATTAGGTAGATTCATTCATTTAAATAACAATGTAAATTTCTTTTTGAAACATGATCTCATGCTAACCTGTCCGAAATGAGCTGCAGGATTTGCAGAACAGGGAGGCACAGTTGCTTCTTCAAAAAATATACTCAATGCCGTCTAGAAAAACAAAAAAAGAGCACTTTGATTGATTGTCAGTTTTTCAATTTTCATGTAAAATAGTTCAGAGGCAGCATCAAAAGTACACTTCTCAATGAATTGTCCAAACATTGGTTCATTGGTAGTTATGGGCCACTTTTTTTTACAAAATGCAAAGTAGTCAATCTTATTAGAACTTGAAATAACACAGTTCTTAGTTAAGATGGTTGTTTTGAAGCTTTTCCAATTAATTGTTTGTCAAAGAAATGCATATAGCAGTAAGTTCAGTGGAAAAATCAAAACATGAAATACGTAGATGTTCGTAATTTCAACAATTGACCATGCTCATAAAATGATGGAATGAAAGTTGTGTTGTGCAGTAGGCTATGACATACATGTAAGGCTTCAAATGGGATGCTTCTCACCCAAATTGAATACAATACTTTAAGAGCGTGACTGAAACGCTTTCCCAAGAAATATCAATTTGTTATTGTTGACCTTCAGTGCGGTCTGCTCAATCGGCAGTAGTCAGCCAACCAGGAGTAGGGAGGTCAGCCATTTTCTTCAACATTTGTTTACAAATAGAGCATACAGCATACCTCAAATTGCCAATGTGCGGCCTGCAGCAACTGTTTTGCTTGTTCCTTAGCACAGCCCGCAGCAAGGACGAATTGATTAATCATGACTTGTTCCCTTAAAGAGTCCATATTTGGTGATTTAAACTGAAAATACACAATGAGCACACACACAGCAGTAGCAGTAGTGTTGATTTGTTTTCGAAGCTACTCATCCCAAGAGGATGAATGACGTCACGCAGCAGTAATGGCTAGAAGACCTTTCCATTGTACCACCCAAGACCTACGATATTTCTTGATGTTCTCGACGTCTGTTACTGTTACAGGGTTTAAAGTTACTAAAAGAAGGTATCGATGGAAGGACGGTGGAAACAACTTAAGCTGCAGAATGCTTTCAAAAGCATAAGTGAAGATGAGAATAGGTTTGACCGAATCTCTGCCTGACACAACTCACTGCTAAATCGGTTCGTTCGTCGCTCGTCTCACTCCTTCTGTAAACAAAATAACTCTAAATTCAGGAAAACAATATTTTTCAGCAATCATTCAATTCTTACACGGAGTTATGTTCAAGAAAGAAAAATTTGCTAGCTCTTACCCTTGCGCTCGCGTGGTGAGGCTATCCGGACATCTTTAAAACTGATATGAGAAACATGATTGTCTAGCCTCATCGTGTTGAATTACTTTTGTCTTTGATATTGCTCCATTGTGGTGTGAAATCTTTGTATTTTATTATTTATTTTCATATACATAACATTAAAAGGTATCGGTACGTAAATTAAAAACATCACTGTTTTACTTTTCTACTAATTTTTAACTAGTAACTAGGTCCAACTGTAGAGTAGCCTAGTAGCCTCGTTGCTGCACGCATGGCTAGAATCTGCAATTGCAATAGCAAAGGGTTGTAGTATACATGGCAGAAGCAGAAAGCAGAAGCAAGACTCGCTGCCGAGATGCCGCACAGTGCGGACGTTCCGGCGGCGGCCAGCCAGCCACCAAAGCGCGCGCGCGTTGAGTCGAATGCGACCGACCCGTTCGATGCCGACAGTTCGGTGATCGTGCTGATTGACGCGAGCGCATACCAGCTTTCCGCTCAGCAATCCGAGATGGTGTTGCTCCGCCTCCGCAGAGTGAGGACGGACACCTATGGCCCGGACCTGGTCCGGATCCACCTCGTGTCTCCGGGGATCTTCGTGGCACAGTGCCGCGAGGGCCCTCATCTGTCCCAAGTCATCGATCTTCTCAACACCGAGCTGGAATCGATCCGGCAGGAGGTAGGCCTGATTCAAGGCCTTCCCGTCCCTCCCCTCTCAGCGGTGCGCGTCGACCCACCTGGACGTCAACCCCCACCGGACGACGACGACGAGTTGTTCGTCTTTTACGTAGCAGCCGACGTGTCTCTGCACGCCCTGAAGTTCGCCCTGGAGCTCGAGTCCGACAGGGTCGGCGGGTTCATGGTGGACGACCGTGCGGAACTTGCTCGGCCCGGGTACGTTACCATCGCGGGAGAGGAATCAGCAGTCTTACGACTGGCTGAGAGGGGCCTTCGATTTGACGCGCTGGGGGCCTTACCAGTACGCGTCTTCCTGACTAACGGACAGAAAGTGACTGTGGGCGCCTATGTTGAACGCGACGTAGAGCCTGTCGACGTTGCCCCCTGCGCGGAGGCGCCTCCGCGGCAGCCCCCGCAGACCGATGTCGCCAGTGCTCCTCACCGGCTGTTGCCTCACGTGGCTCCGTCAGAGCGGGCCAGGAGGCGGCGGCGTCGTCGAGGTCCGAAGAGGACCGCCGACGCCCTGCGCCAGTGCTACAAGTGTCAGAAGTTCGCTTCTCACTTGGCAGCGGATTGCGACGCACGACACGACACGTGCCGCATCTGCGGAGCAGCCCACAGAGCCAGCGCCTGCACCGCCAAGGCGGTTCCCCGTTGCTCCAATTGTGAAGGCCCACACCCATCGTCATCACCTCGCTGCCCGCGTCGACCACGGCCCCCGCCTGGACCGGCGCCGCCAGCCCGACCGCCCACCGGTTCACCAGGAGCAGGACGGTCATCTCCACGGCCAGGATCGTCCCTCCTATACCATCTCGCCGCTGTGTTGCGCCTCCTCACGGACGGCACCCAGCGGACGCCACGGGGATCACGTCGGCCGCCCCGTAAACCCCCTTCTTCCGGCCCTGTCCGCGGTCCCCCGGGGACTCGGGCGTAAGTGGCCCGCTCCGCAGGTCGG